CCACGCAAGGTCGAGACACGGACTCCGCCGAATCACCTGCTGTTAGCCTAGATCCAAAAAGGAGGGGAAGGATGGCACACGCCCACGTGGAATAACACCGTCACATATGTCCCAGACAGTCCGAGGCTTCTGCCAAGTTTCCAAGGGGCGTTGCTGTGCCCTTATTAAAAACCGCCATGTCTGTGTCTGTATGGCACTGTGTTGTGCATTTGGCAGGGCTGAATTTAGGGCAGTGGGAGCCCCAGGCTAAAATCATCGTTGGGGCTCTACCTACAGCATAAAATGCTTCCGGAATGGAAATAAACCATTCAGGACCCCCTACAAGTCAGGGCCCAGGCTGCAACCCAGTTTTGCTCCTGCACCAACCCGGCCCTGGCGTTCAGGAGCTTCCTGGTGCCGGAACACTACCAGGGGGATTCGGAAGTAGGATTTCCATCACACGCCTTGATCGAAACGGCCCAAACCTTGGTAGCTCTCAAAGCATGACTAAGTGACCGTCACCTAGGTGACTTGCATACAAACACTGCGGTTTAACAGCCCGGGTTTGACTTACAGGTGGTGATTTTACCCATTTTTGATTAATTTATTGCATAACTTATTCTGGCAATGTTATCCATTGACGTTAAAGTTGTATTCCGACTTTAGAAATTAAAAAGTCTTAATTGCTTTCACAACTGTTGGCATTCCTTCTTTCCTGCATTTTAAAATATCAGTAGTTTTCTGTTTGTTATTCATCATTACTTTGTATCATTATATTGTCATATAGACTTTTCCCATTTTCTCTGGATAAACACTTACGATGATGTTACCTCCCAGGTGCAGATATGTTTTAAAAGAGCAGCTGGTGTCAGAATGTAAGGATTTAAGTTTTATTGACTACATTACCAGGAATACAAACAACCTTTTCAAAATGTTAGGTAAGAAGACTGTAGAAATGTGCTAGTCCCCATTCTTATGGGTTCAAATCCCCCTGCTGTGTGTATGCCCACCACATGGTTATGGGTTCAAACCCCCCTGTTGCGTAACCTTCCCACGTGGTTATGAGCTCAAATCCCCCTGGTGTGTGTATGCCCCCACTTGGTTATGGGTTCAAATCCCCTGCTGTTTGTATGTCCCCTGTGTGGTTATGGGTTTGAATCCCACACACCTTGACGCTCTAGTTGTATCCCACAGTCCAAAGGCAGGCAAACTAGCATCTCTCAGTTGGCCTTAGTGTGTCTTAGGTAGTGCCTATATGTGTCCCGTGATGGAGTGGAATCCTAGCAAAACTGTCTCGGATTGGCTCTATCCTCCATGAAGGGTCAGTGGTTGGAAGATGGATGGATGGGTGTTGGTTTACGCGTTAGGATACGCCATGCCAAATTACTTAAATGTATATAAACTCTGAGTAATTTTGAGGTTTGATTAGCATAATGCCTAAAAAGCAATTCTACATGCAGTTTTGAAATTTCTTATCGTCACAAACCCTGTGATATGGAGAAGGTGGAACAATGGAGACTTTATAACGGGTTCTGTGTAATGTATCCCTGGCTGCTTTCCATTTGCTGCGTTAGCAATAAAGTAATTTAACTGTGCACTTCTCTTTCTGCATCAGTGACCCTCTCGGAAATGCTGAACCCGCCAGCTTATCCATGTTAATGTTACCACTTCTCCAGTGTATATATCACTGCATTATACAACATCTTTAAGCAATTGTAACAAGATTCTAGTTTGTAAGGAGAGGATACATTTCTTTTGGGAGAAAGTGCTTGGGCTAATAAAAGTTTCAAATAAGCATTAGAGTAATATAAATATTATACGATTAGGTACCGTATGTCATAACCACAAAATAAATGACCGCAGGTATGCAGGGATTATGCATATGCAGTGCTGACACTTCTGAATAAATCTTTCACTTCTCTTTTTTTTCTGCGTGTGAGTAGAGTGCAGCTTTTCACAGTCTGACAGTTTGGTGATGCGGACAGCCGAGGTTGTGTATTGGTATAGTGAGCCCTCGGAGACTTCGATTCCGGACGAGCCCCCAAGTTCGGGTGTCCACCCCTTCCTGGCCGCACACCACCCTGTTCCTTAATCCTGGATAGCCACCGGGAAGCTCGAGCAGTGCGGGGAGATGCTGATATAACACATGTCATCCGAATACCTGCCATGTTGTATACAGACATTAGAGTTTGACTATTTTTTACTGTAATATCGATATTTTTACTAGCAAATCTCTTGATGCTACATATTCTGTTTGTCCTTGGCATTTCCCCCATCACCTGGATGTACTGCCTTATTGGTAAATCACTATTATTTCATTAAAATGTCACCACATTTGTAGGAAGATTGAGGTGCATGCAGGATACACCAGGACCCCGGAGTGTCCCGAGTTTGGGGTATTTGGGTCAAAGCCCCGGAAGAATCCAAGTGAGGCCCAAATGATTTATTTACCTCAGATGTTTTAACAACCGCACCCTCAGTCTGCAGTCTGGACTAAGTCTCTGGTGTCTTCAGGTCCTAACAGCTCTCCTGGTAGGATCTAATATGGGGTACTGATATACCATATTCACAGGCTTCTTTAAGGCACAGCTATAAAGACGAGGACACTCAGGTGAACTGTGCCTCTCTGGGTACCGGCTGAAGGTTGGGAACGTGGACAAAAGCAAATGGAGCGAAAAGAACAGCGACAGCGTGACACACAGGGGACGACGGCCAGGCCACACCGCTGCATAGGCACCCAAGCCGCACGAACACAGCCTGTTTACAATCCAAGTGTGTCTCCGGGGATGACTGGGAGAGACGACATCCCACAGAAAAAGTCTGAAAAAACCGGGAGGCCGCCCCCAAGTGTAGAAGAGGGCACATTACACCGATGGGCACCTCCCATGATGATCCACTAGGTGTTTCAGAGTTAATATGTATGGCAAATATCATCCATTTGCCAACCACTTAGCCAGTGCAGGATAACAGCAGGGGAGCTTGGAGTCCATCCCAGGCAGCAGAGGGCAGAAGGCAGGGGATGCCTTGGATGGGATGCCCATCCACCACAGGGCAATTTAGAGAAACCAATAAGCCTAAATGCATCTCCATGGACTACAGAAGGAAACTTCTACCTCAGTGACGCAGGGAACATTGACCTTCACGCACTGGGAGTGCAGGTGGGATTCGAACCCAAAACCCCGTAGGCAACCGTGCTACACATTGAGTGCTGTGCTGTTTGTTATAGGAATGACTCAACCTAAACAAAATGCTTACCATTCATTGTTTGCAAAGGAGGATTTCTTTTTTCCTGGACAATGAAGGTGAAGAATGAGAGCTGCTTCTGGTCGAGGCGGAGAGCGGTGGAAATGAAATGCGGCGGAGCTGGAGGAGTGGTGGGGGCCGTATTTCTCCACTCGAGGGCCCCGGGCCCTGGAGCAGCCCTGACTTCGGCGGGACACCCTGCCAGCAGTCAGCTCTGCTGTTGTTTACCACAAAGGCGATTTTTACTCATAAACTATTCTGGGCAGATTATATTTACTTGTGTTCAATTTATTTTCTTGCAGGGGCATCAGAAATAAGGGCACTAATTAAAAATTTATCGGTGTAGCTCTTAGCTCTTACCGCAGCCCTTTGCAAGCTGTTTATCCACAAAGAGATGCGCAGCGGGATTTGGAAGGTGTGCATCTGCATGAACGCTACCCCCCCACCCCCGAAAGGCTGTTTTCTATGTGCTGCTGGGCCTTGTGACTTGTAAAGCAGTGCCAGATTTTCGCCGTTAAGGTTACCTTGGTGAATTAGAAATGAGTGTTCTTCTATATTTATTCTGGGAGCGTGTAAAGGTGGTCCTCTGCCCTGTCCGCCGTGTGGCACGGAGCAGGACCGGCCTTCCCTGCTGGTTGGCTGTCAGCCAATGGAGCTCATCTGCCTGCTGCTTTCAGATCCAGATTCCCGCTTGTGTACTTGTTACATCAGGTGGAACCATCATGAAAGCAGCCTTGAGAGGCTGCGGGGGGGAGGGGAGTGGGGGTGGGGGTGGGGGTGCAACTTCTGATATAACCTGGAAGTCTACTTTGAATCCTTAATATGGGGTTTTGCTGTATAATATCTTGCGTTCTGGTAAAGCACTGATGATGAAATTGTGGGGACTCATCCTCCTTTTCCAGGTGCCTCCTGACTGAGGTGAGTCAGCCTGACAGGCTGGCCCAAGGACGAGCAATGCGAGTTTCATTAGGCGGCGAGTAGGCATTCCGTGCTGGTGAGGTTTATTAGTGTGCTGTATTTGTGTAGCCTGAATGGGACCGCAGGCAGTGCGGGAACCTGTAACCTGAAGCTTCCTTTTTCAGGTCCTGGCAGGTCTCTTGCAGCAGTGTAGATATCTTGCTGTTTCTATCTGTTTATTTCCCGTAACACTGATCCGGTACAGAGTCAGCCTGAAGTCTGTTCCATGGAAGCACTGGGTGCAAGACAGGGCAAACACCCTGGCAATTTCGAGATGTCTATCTGCCGACCCGCATGGTTTAGGACTGCGGGAAGAAACTGGAGAAGTTGCAGGAAGCAAACACATGCAAAGTCAAATCACAACTCCAACTGTGCAAGCATTAGGTGACAGTGTGGCTCAGCGAGCCAAAGTGCCTCCTGTCATGGAGCCCCTTTCACTGGCTAAAAAACATCACCCTGAAAAACACATGGTGCTTTCCAGAGTGTCGCACGTTCCCCGTCCCTGACACCGCGATCCCAGAAATGAACGAACGCGTTGCAGAACTCCTGATCATAGAAGTTCGAATTCACAATGATTAAGCCATTAATTTTTCCAAGGGTATTTTAGGCCTCAGTGCTTTTTAGCTTAGATTAAAAACTGCAGGCTACCCTTCAACACGAGAAACATGATTACTCAAGGAGACAGAGGGATATATTTATTCTGCGATATTAATAATTCTAATATGCAGTAGTGCTGGTGTAGTCATTAATTTAAGTTTCTTTTTATTTTTGAATACAAAATGAATGCACAGAGCAGGATCTCATGTGGCTTTCGCCTATCACACTTCAGGATCCATGGTGTCGATTCACACGTGCAGAATCCTACAAGCATAATTCATGCATAACAGGTTTCCTTGAAGGCTATTTCATTCTGGCATTTTTGTGCATGGTTCTGTTCCTCCGTATTTCCTGAAGATGAAAGGGAGGCGGGCCCTTTGATATGTTAAGCGGTCGCATGGAGATGGACGGAGTGAGATTCCCCCCGGAGCAGGGATTTGTCTGGGGTGACGAGGTTTGGGATGCTGAGGCAGCCGGTGCGCTCTTTCAGCTCTGGTGAGTTTCCCCTCGCCGCGAAACAAAAGGCAGCCCAAAGAGCCTCTCATTCATTACTGACCGTCACAGTGACACCCCGTACCGGCCGTAATATCTCACCGGCAAGAGACAAATGCACGCTGTTAACATCTTTGCATGGCTTGTTGCGGAGGTTTATCACCCAGCTCCCAATGCAATAAGTCAGGGTGCAGACGGAGAGAGAGGCGTCCGTTACAGTACTGCTTACACCCTGACTGAAAAGGTCATTCGCCTTGTACAGGCTTCATACGTCTTAATATACATCCTCGGGTAAACGCTGCGGCATTTCTGGCTTTCTTAAAAAGCGAAGGAAGGCTGGTGTCCGTGTTTTCGTTTCCAATTTGTCTCTGTCAAGTAAAAGCCAGCCCCTTAATGATGCGAAACGTGGTTTGTCACTCCTGGTAGGGTTAGGTATTAGGCTAGGAAGATCATTTCTGCCAAAGGAAAAACAAAGGCTTCAAAAGCTGGGTATAAAATTTGCATGTAGTCCACCTAAACATCTGGATTTCATTTTAAGATGTTTTTGAGTCTTGAGACGTTAATAGGAGATGATTACATATTGCTGCTCATTTCATGCAGTCGGACAAATTGTACCTTTCCATTCTTTCTAGAAGCCAGCCACAGACTGCACTGCAACAGCCCCGCAAGTTTGATCAGGCACGACACAACAGGCAAACTTTTTTAGAAGTTGCTTCTTCCTTTTGGCACATATTTGTTGACAACTTGTGTACAATACAGAAGATGGCAGTCGTCGAAATGACCTTCAAATATCATGCAGAAAAGCATGTTTTTCATCTGTGACTCAAAAGAAAACAAAACAAAAACAAATCAGGACCGAATCTCACCTAGCATCCGATTTTTCCTCAATACCAAGTCAAAGTGGGATTTTATTTTAGTTAGTGACACTGCAATGTTCTAATGATTCTTTGTGTGACCCCATAGACCGCAGAATAAGAGCTCCTGCACTGGATTATGGGGTCACAGTCCTGGCTTTGGCAGGCAGTCTGTACCCAGCTGAAGGATCATTTTAATTGGTTCACAAGTATGTAAATATACTCCACGTGATCACTTACTGCAAAGCCTATTTAAGCTGCTGCATTCACAGATTTCCCAACTAGGAGAGTGCAAGTAAAAACTAGGCCATCGGTCTTCTTGGAGTGAATAACGATTCTGTATTTTATACATACTGATATCATTCTGGCAACACAAGGCAATGAAGAAGTATTACCAGTCAGAAAATAATTAATTAAATAACCGAAATAAACAACAAAATAGAGTGTAAACTGGAGGGAGGGTGAAAGTAAGGGAAAAAAAACCTGTTCACAGCCCACAAGCGGAGGTGAAAATGCTGTGGTTTAAAGCGAACGTCAGGTAGCATTCAGAGGAATCTGAGATTGTAACCTAGATATCAGCAACAGAGAGCCCTGACATTCCGGAGGAAGGCTGTCCAACTCTGGCTCCAAAAATACATAATGCATGATATATGGAAAGTTGTTTTTTGTAATTGTCTTATATCTGAATTTTATAGACTGCTTCCTGCATACAAAATACATTTTCTGGCACTCTATGTAAAAAATGAAGATTCCCTAGTTAGGCCTATTTAGGCTTGGATAAGCACTGACTTTAGTGTAATCTTATCACCATGGGACTGGGTGTAATTGCTGAGATACTTCAAGTCTGTGCGATACAATCATTTCGAAGGCACAGCCGATTGATATCCAGAGGCTGATGGGGAGACAGGTGCCCACGACCGTAATGGAACAGTAACTGTGGCCAAAAGCGCGGATGACAGCAATGGCCGTGAGTCATCTCTGTTGTGAGTAACGAAGAAACTGAGGATCACTGCATACTGGGCTGTGGCTTAAGGAAAAACACATCTGGAGTGTCTTTTTTGGGGGGTTGTTCAATCACCCCACTGCGGTGCTGGTGAGGTTCCGGACTCCTAGAATAATGAGTGAGAATTAATGCTGCCCCATAAGTCAACGCCTTGGGTGATCAGCTGCGTTCTGTCTTCGTCTGATTAGGCAGTATTCCATCGCCAAAAGTTATCTCCCAACACTGAGCAAAAGCCACCAATAAGTGCCTTGTAACCTGCTGCTGTTAATTATTATTATTAATAATGATAATAATAATAATAACAACAATAATGATAATAATCGCATTATCCATGTCCTATTAGCCTAAAAGGCTACATTCTTTTTTTTCTGTCCTACGCTCTCAGCAATAAGTGTTAGGAATGTTTCCTTCCTTACGTAAAATACACTTACAATATCCAGCTATTGCTACATTCAAACAATACTATAGATACATCATTTGAGAATGAAAACAAACTACATCATCCATGACCTTGATAAACCAGTATTATCACATGCTGGACCTGTAGCCAGAAATGTTGTTTGTTGGGGGTGGGGTTTGACCACCATACCAATACAGCTGTAGCAGCAGATTTTGAGCCGCAGACCCATTAGTGTGCCTGCCACCCCCCAAACACACACACACACACACATCCAGGCAAGGCCCATCAGGTCCACCATCACTCACAGTCCGCGTTCAAAATCGTCATTGAACTACATGTCCATGTGCCTGATTGATAATGGAAACAATTTATATATCCTTATTTTACCACGTGCATGGCTGTCAGATATAAAGCCTGGATTTCTGTAATCGGCGCAAAGTTCACGTGAGGCCAAGTTATTAAAGTGTGAATCTCATTATTCAATGACATGCTGCAGACATTAATAAAAACGCTAAACGGAAAAGACGATAAGTCACACGAGTGTACTGTGAGGATTCTTGCGGTTGACCTGTTGACGTACGAATATGTAATTAACAAAAATAACGATATGAAAGCACAAATTGCTTTTTCGTATTTCTGCAGCTACGTAACTGAGCAATATGGATGATTCACACGCTCAGCCACACTGGCCTCTCTTCCCGGCTACGAAATGAAACGTACTAAAAAGAAGGGGAATGCGCAGTTCAAATTACCATAATAATTAGGTGGCAAATACTAAATGGCTCAGATGTAGTTTTTCATAGCTAGAAATGGATGTTTGCCACTTAGATTAACCCGAGCTTGTATCTCAACAGTACGCAGGTCAAGGTCTATGACAAAAATACAAAGTGGTCGAAATATTGAACACTTCTGTCACATGTGGTTAGTTGGGCCTGGACCTTTATAGGTTTTTTCCCCCACCTCTGCTGTACCTTGGTTATCTTTTTCCATTTATACTTACGTTTAAGCAAGCTATAACTTAATCACTTTTGATGTTTTTAAGTCTTTGTTAAGCGCTTTGGGGGCACTGTTGGGAAGGGTGCTACAGAAAACTTAATTAAAAAGTGGGTCAGGTTTTCTTTTGTTTGTTTTTGTGCTGCAAATTGTGATAAATCAAACAGCAACGACCCAGTTTGCCAGAAGAGTAAAAAGTCAGATATGTATTTAAAAACGTAAAATGGTTAAGAAATTCACTGTACATTATTACAACGTCATATGACTATAAAACACAGTTTTTGATACATTTACATAAGTTTGTAAACATTTAATACCAGTAAAATTGACGGACGTCATATTTCAATTGTAATCTCATTTTTCTCTTAAAATATTATGAAACTGCTTTTAAACGTCTGTGTGTAAAAATATTTAAAATGTTATATAAATAACATTAGGCTACCTACTGTACTTGACGTCCATCTATCATATATCCCAAAACTATTATAAGCCTCATAGCATTACACCTCTCAGCAAATAGACCTTTTTAAACATTTTAAAAGGATGTAGCACTAGCCTGAAACGGACGTAGCTTTCCCGCTTGTTTGCCTGGCGGAGGGCTTACGCAAATCTAGCCTGGGGGCCGCCAGGGATATGTCACTCTGGGGTGGAGTTTAAGCGCACAGCGTTTGGAGGTGAAGAAGCGGGTGCCGCACCCATCTTCCTTAAGGACACCTCGTCGGAGACTGACACAGACCGAGTAAAGCGAGGGGTGGAGACGTAACCTAAAAAGGGCGAGAAGAGAATTATTTTTTTTAACTGCACCATGAAAACACAATGGAAGAAAACGGGGGAAGGAAGTGAATAATGAATCGCCTGAAAAGACACTTGTTTAAAACACTTAACACATTAGACTGCAGATAAGATACCCAAGAATAATGTCTAACTGGTTTCACTATAAAGAATAAAGATTAGGCGTCAGCGGAAATGGGTACTGTATAAAGCAATTGTTTCACATTTGTTGTAGGCTGATATGTTATCGTGTCTCAACATACACTGACTTCTTGTGACAGATGCGTCATTAATTTATTTTACACGACTGTCATTTTGCGGCACGAACGGTAGGTGGCAAGATCTTTTTCAAAGTTGTTTAATACGGCAGCCATGGTGCTGCAATTACTGCATTTGAACACAAGGTGGGTGTCTTTTGCAATCTGTTGCATTGACGCAGTGAAATTATTGCTACGCGCGATTCAATATGAACGCTTTTTCCTACCACCTAGCCCCAAACACAGCTAGAGCCGTTCTGTTCCTCTTTTACCGGTCCTTCTTTACCTGGACTCTGCTTGGATTTCAGGTTGTTGTTGGTTTGCTCCTGCAGCTCCTTCTCAATTTGTCTGACCTCCTCCAAGCTCATGCCTGGGAAAGAAACGGAAGGATTGATGACCGCCGTTATTGCTACTAATTATAACCCTAATTGTTATTTCAATCGCGAAAGACAATGACTTAACCCTTTCCATACCGTGCCATTCGTCCATCCAAGCCACAGCCTGTCTGTGGCCAACAAGAAGGATATCATTAACAGTCTGTGAGAGAAAAACACCACACAATAATTAGCAAATTAAGAAACAAATATGTATTTGAACACTGATACAGCAGAAATATAGAACATGTTCCTGTATTTCAAGCCCTCAACAGACAAAAGGATTTTCTGAAATTTCAGTCATACCATTAACGAACGCCATATTTAAGTAATCTTCTCATTAAAAATTAACCCCCCTAATTTCTGTGAAGTGTGCTCTGTAGGGGTGTGTTTACCCGGTGTATGAAGTCCTCGACCTTCCCCTGCAGCCCATAGACTTCAAAGCTGCACTGCACTCTCTTGTAGGAGCACATTATGGGATGGCTTTGATTCTGCCATCCCGCCTGCAGAGGCCCCCGGCCCGTCTTTGCCGATACCCATGTGCTGAGGTCCTGCGGAGCGTATATGGTATTAACATGCTTGCTGCTGAGTCAGCCCACCAGAGGTCTCAGTCTGACCTCATTACGCAACAGCAACCTTATCTGGCGCAGACACGGAGAGTCGGATGGAGCGTGCCATATCACAGATGGGGACAGACAGACAAAGCTGGGTACCTCTTTTGATTTATAATGCTTCTCAGGAATGGGATCGTTCAGGATGTCCAAGTGGCTCACGTTCTCCTTTGGGGTGGGTGTGTCTCCGAACACCTGCATCATCCATGTGATAGATGTTACTCAGTGCCATTTTCATTTTCTTAATAAATCAATTCCTTGCTGAAGGTGACAAGAATGAAGACAACTGCATTTTTAAAAAAAAATCATTTCATTTATCTTTTTTGGGTCAGACAGTCTCTGGGGCAAGGACCTTGCTCAGGGGGTTAATGGTGAAATCACTCTGCCGACCTTGGGGTTTGAACCAAAGACCTGCTGATCGCAGGCAGTGTGTCCTAATATGCTGCGTCACACCCTATCCCTACGTCCCCTCTATTCATCCAGTTCACATGTGTCTGTTGCTCTATTCCTGACCTCAAAGTAATTTTCCCATGTATGAGTACACTCATGCCCCAAAGGCAATGTTTGATTCATCAAGTCAGCTGAACTGTGTAACTTTGCCAGTTAATCCTCACAAATGGTGCGATTCCACACGCACAGTAGGGCCAGATGCGAGGCCACAGAGCTACCTGCAGTGTAATTGGTCCCCTCCTGCCCAAAGACGTATCGGTCTGTCAGAACCCACGGCTCTACTTTCACCTCACCGGCTTATTCCACATGAACTTGCTGTGACTTACATTGAGATTGCTTCCATTGTTGTCCTCGAACTTGGTCTCAATCCGGATGTAGAACTTGGGGACGAAGGAGCACTGATAACGAAAGAGAGCACCTTTAAGGAACGAAAGCATTCAGTGCAGGGCTGAGAGATTGTACAGCCACGCGCTGCTGGTGAGTGTGAGAGAGAGGGAGGGGACCAGCACTCACCGTGAACTCTGCATGGCCGTCAGTGTGAAAGTGAAAAAGAAAGAATTGGTCAGTTTGCTTCTCTGGCTACGGTTCCTGTGCTTTGTGACAATGAAATGGCCACAGGTAGGACAATGCTGTCCCAAAAATACTCCCACACACATTTGAGAGGTTGTACTAACCGGTTATGGTGTAAGGGTAGAAGTTCCAGGCCTTCTCTATGATGTAGAAGATCCGAGGGACAAACATACTTATCCAAGATGGAAGTTTACTGAGAACAGGAGGGAGGGAGCGGGAACAGGGTGATAATCAGGCCATTAATGCTGGCGCCAAGGGTTGTGTTACAGGGCAGCGGGGCGAGGTGCCTGTGCGGGCGTACCTGCTGAGGTGTATGTGCTTCTCGGTGTACTGCCCGGGGCCGTGCTGGGGGTGGGCATGGGGCTCATTGCAGATCACCTCCACCCCTTCGCCGTCGCCGCTCTGCTCGTGGCTGTGTTTGCTAATCATGTACAGCTGACCGATTCTGTACTGAGAGAGCAAGAGGGAGGGACGGACATACAGGGGGATGCTGAACCAAAGGCGTACGCACAGAGCAAACGAGCGTGCCAGTGCCTGGCGGAGAAAGCCGCTATGCCGTGCTGCCGCCTCGCCGACCAATCACAGAGGCCGGTGCAACGCAAGGCGACTTTGTATGTCAAGTGGAAAAGCTATAGGGGATGGAAATCTATCAGCTTGTTGTAAAACACCACTCCTTCTTCTCACATGTTCTTTTCAACCTTCGGGCAAATACCTGTGCTTGGCGGTGAAGGACTGAACCTGCTGGACTCGTTTAGAAACGATTAAAAAAAGGGGTAAAATGAAGCAAGACTACAAGTATATGTAGAAAGCCATGATAGAGCGTAGTGTGTCTGTTGATGAGAGGCACAGGAGAAACACACACCGCACTGTCTGTATGGCACATACACACACAAACACACGCGCACACACACACACACAGAGCGACTTCCTGTCCGGTCCTCCTTACCTCCTCCACGCTCAGTGGCATACATATCCTGTACTCCTTCATCAGCATGTTGGCACAGTCAGTCTGCTGCTCAGGTGCCTCTCTGCAGATCTCCTGCTCCTTTTTCCCTGTCTAAAGGCGAGTGCGCACCCAGTCATACGAGCACGCCGCTCTCCAGCCTCCGAGACTTCCTCCTTCTTGTTTTTGTTGAGCCCTCCTTCACTCGGTGGGTAACTGCTTCTGTTCTCCCTTTTTCTTTCAGTTTGTGACTCCTCTCATGCTATAACCTTTTGTATTAGTAGCTCCTCCCTCCCCTGTCTGGGGCACTCCTGTAAATTTAACTTTCTTGTAAATTCCTTTGCTTATCTGCTCCCCTCCCCCCGCGGTTCTTTCCCGCCCACCTTACCGCATTACCTGTTTCCTCTTTCTCTTTCTCTCTCTTTCTCTTTCTCTCTCTCGTTCTCAATGGGCTGAGACTTCCTGAACTCTCCACGCTTTTTCTTTTGTTGACATCCTCAGTCAGGTCGCAGCCATTAATTACCCCCCTGATCTGAGCCCTGCAGCCCAGATTTTACCTGCAAGAAGTTTTGCTCCTCATAAAAATGTAGAACTTTAAAAGATCCGGAAATGGCAGGCTTATGCACCAACCCTATACTAGACTGTTATTACCACAACAGGCGTCTTTTAAAGTATCACCTTTCATATGAGCTTTTAGCCACATCTGCTTTGTTGACTCTTGCTGCGGCCAAATGGAGCCATGTGACTCTGGGACAGGGGCATGGAAGTGGGATTTTATTTATGTTTGGGAATGGAGATGGGTTTAGGACAACAGATGAGAGGAATAAGAACAAAGCATGAGGATAACACAGGCAAACAAAGCAGCCATTTAGTTTGGTTGTGGTCTAAAGCTGGGCGTGGGAGAAGGTATCATGGTCTGGGGCCGAGAAAAAAAGATTGAACAAGCTGATCACCTGACCAGCCCCTGCCCTATGAATAGAGGTGCGTAGTTCAGGTCCAGAGAGTAAAATTCCTGACCAAGATTTTGTTTTAACCAACCAGTTGAATATACAGTCACAGATGCATAGTACTCGGCTGGTTGGTTAAAACAAAAACAAGCATATTAATATAAAGTTGCTCCACCATTTGTTGCTATAATAGCCTCCCATTAGATGATGGAACATTGCTGGTGGGATTTGTTCAGGTTGGGTATCAGTGCTGGGTGGTCAAGTTCCTTTCTGTGAGGTCGTGTGGCCCCCACTTCGCAACTGAACTTCCCCCCCAGGTGTTTCCACAACAATCGCGGTTGACCAGGGCAGAAATTTGGCAAACTGACTTGTTGGTAAGATGGCACCCTGTGAAGGTGCCAAGTTCTGCTGCCATTGTTGTTGGGTTTTTGTCTGGCTGTTCTTAGTTCTACACCTATATCAGTAATGGGTGTGGTGGAGTTAGTCATTTCCTCGAAATTATAGGGATGTTCACACATTTTACCTATATGGTGTAATACAAGCGATCTTCTTTTATAAAGTTCCTTTTTTACTTTTACGAATTCTATGTATTTATTTGTACAAATGAGACAAAAAACACATTACAAGCATTCAGCTGTCAAGGAGCCTACAAGCCATAAGAGTGGCTTTATTGAAGAAATAATGTTACCACTTTTTTTTGTTATGAGATTTATACTCTTCTATACTCATTTATATATCCAAATACTAAGATATCACCAGTTTCTCAGTCAATATTGCATTCCACTGTCTCCAACCGGGCAGAGGGTAAGTAATATTCAGGGATTTATTATGCGCTGTATATATACTATGTATAAAACCAGATAAAGGGTTAATTTGGGCTGAACTGACTCTTTGAAATATACGTATACGTATCCACCAGTGAGCTTCTAACTTTGTTTCCAGAACATAGTGAAAGTGTAAAGCTAGCTCATAGCATTAGCTCTCTCCCCTTCCCTTCCCCATCCTGCTAAGCCCTTAACCTTCAATTCCCAGTGGTGCGATTGGCTCTCTTTATGGGGAACGCGCTCTCCTTTCCCAGACGACGGCACAGTGCTCCTTCCACGCGTCTCTGGGGACCTACGATGTAACACTTTTGCTGAGCATCTCCGACGTGCTGATCAGCCGGGCACCGAGAGGACCACAAATCCCGAGGCTCTGAGGTAACTGTCATGCTCCAGGTATTTCGCCACCGCTGCTCATCAATCTTGATGGGAAGTGGGGTTGTGCATCAGATATGTGATCCATGGGTGGAGCTTAGTGTGGGAAAAAAAACAGGGGACTGGGTTTTATAGGTCCAGCTCCCACGAATCACAAAGCCGTTTCTGCAGAAGCACACGTTAGAGTGACACGGCCATGAGTTTCTGACCCATTCAGAAAAAAATTATACGTGACAAGAAAGGATCTTTATTTTCCAAGGGTGACATTTTTGTTGTCCAGCAGCATAACAAAAAAAAATGACTCCCAATGAAACAGGAAATTTAAATGAATAAATTATAATAAATTATGAGAAAGTATATGTTAGAGTGCAGGTCTTGTGTATGAACATGGAAGCTGCTGGAATCCTGTGATGGGTTAAAGAAGATTAGGGTTGTGCTGGGTGGGGTTAGGTAGATGGAAACAGGAGGCAGCGAACAAACAAACGGCAGAGAGGAATGCCTAGAGCACTTAGGCACTTAGGTATTTCGGGAAGATGAGCCAGTGGGTGGAGTGGGTGACTCTGCAGGTCTGTGTTTAGAGAATGGGCTTCATTATTCACCACGGTTTGGAGCCCCCACTCCCGCCCCCGCTTCTCAGGCTCGGTCTTATGACAGAACTACCCTTATTCAGGTCTGTTCAGTCTACCTGGCTCCTTTACATTGATATTGCCCCCAGCAAACAGCAGATGAACATCACTGGCTATGACAGACTGGTAAAACATGTCTAGCAGTTTGCTGCATACGCTGAAGGACCTTAGTCTCCTCCAGAAAAACAGCCTCCTCTGCACTTCCTCCCTCTGTGCCGTCGCGCTGCTGCAGCCTGCTACTGATGTAGATTCCAAGGTACCGCTCGAGTCGACGCTCTCTCCCCACACGGTGACAGCAGTCAGTGGCTCTCCGCTCTGCCTGAGGTCCAGCACCAGTGCCTTCATCTTTCTGGCACTGATCTTCAGATGCTTCCTTTTTAAACACCTAAGAAAACTCTCCAACAGGCTTCCGCACTTCCTTTCTCTACTGTCATTTTACAACAGCAGAATTGTCAGGGAACTTCTGAAGACAGCATGAGTCAGAGGTTGTGCCTCATGTCTGTGATATTTTTAAATGAAAAGGTCACAGTACTGATCCTTGGGGCACCCCTGTGTTGCTCAGCAACACATCAGATTTACAGGTACTGATACAGATGAACTGGTCAGTTGATGAGCTGACCTATGATCCAGGGACCCATGGCATCCTCTGTATTAGTCACTGATTTTCTCCCCCAACCAAGAAAGTTGGATGGAGACATCAAAGAAGATAAGCATCCTGACATTGCTCAGATTGTCCAGCTGCAAGTACATTCTTTGAGACGCATACACACCTTTGTGTACCTGAGATGCAAACTCTAGTACATCTAAGAAGTCCTTTCCTAGTGGGTGGAGAAGCTAATGGAGCAGCGTCATGAATGTCTCCATTATGTTTGAGTCGTCATTAAGGGCAGGCGAGCGTGAGCTTTATGCGGGGGCATCATGCATAGTCACAGGCACACATTAAACATGTGCTCCATAACATGTATGGGTGTATAAGGCTGTAAATTAATATTATTATGGCCTGCAACACATTATTTGAGTTTAGATGCTCTACTACAATTCAGATCTCTTTATTTGTGAAGGGAACACAAACTTTTTAATGTGCATTACATTTTTATAATGTAAATAGTTTCAAAAAGGAAAATGTATTTACGGGCATAAAAAGCAAATGATTAATTTCTTCATATCTAAAAAAAAAAAAACATTTGCAAAACTATCCAATCTATTTTCCCATAATTTTTTATCCAACATCCACTGCAGGATGTTGGTGAGCCATGAACCTTCCTGGACATCAGAGGACACAGACAGACACATACACACACGCACACACACACACATGCACGCACACACACGCACACACACACATGTTTGTAATTATATCTTTGTTGGGACTCTCCATTCATTTCTATGGGCAAAACTCTAATCCCAGTCCTAATCTTACCCATAAGTAACCAAACAAAATATGAGACTTTTGGCATTTTTAGATTTTTGGCATTTTGATTGCATTCACAGATCTTTGTGGGGACCTGAAAAATGGTCCTCACAACATCAAAATAACTGGTTTTCATTATATCCATCCATCCATTTTCCAAACCGCTTATCCTTCTGGGTTGTGGGGGGTCCAGGAGTCTATCCCGGAAGCTATGGGCACAAGGCGGGGAACAACCCAGGACGGGGGGGCGGGGGGGGGGGGGGGAGTTTGCAGCCCATCACAGGGTTTTCATTATATTGTGGGAAATATTTGGTCCCAACAATGTAATGTAAGTCATGTAATGTAAGCATAATCACAAACACACACACAGTGGGCAAAACCTTAATCCCAACAAATGACAACATCAACCCCTACTTAGCCCTGACCTTAACCCTGAACCATAGGTAACCAAACAAAATACTTTTGCATTTTTATATTTTTACTGCAGTCACAGATTTTTAGAAAATTGAATTTCTCCTTGTGGGGACCAAAGAAATGCTCCCCAGAATGTCAAAATAACAAGTTTTTTATGTAACGTATGTCTGACCCCTTGCCCCACACACACATAATCACCAGTCCACTTGAATTGCAGGTCTTTAGACAGTATGCAAAACCCACTGAAAGATGGTAAGAAGCAGACCCGCAAGCTTGGGTGTGAGAGGACACGCAGCTGTCCTGTTCGCAAGATGTCTGGGGAATTTTGCAGTTTGTTTTCATTATAGACAGTCACTTTATGTATTCATGATTCTTGACATTTAGAAGCACTGTTGTGGCAAACAGCTATAACAAATAAACCTGTAAAAAAGTGTAAAAAATTGCCTTGCTGCTCTTCATTTTCCCTGGATTCGAGGCTCCGGATGCATTTTTTTTTCAATTGCTGAGATACAACACTGAAGTCACTTTCTCAACACTCTTCACACAGTCTACAATACCAACATGCAGCTTGGCCGGTTAATCTCTCCTCCAAAATGCACTATAGCCACCAAAACATTTAACCCGTGTCTCAAAATAGACTCCTATCACCAATACATTAGCACCTTATATCTTCCTGGAAGAACACTGTATCACACAAACGATTGGCCTACAAAACACTAACAACAGACAGCATTACATAAAACATAATATGGATTATCAGTAAAGCATCATCAGTAAAGTCACTCTGATTTCATTTCTCATAAATATTGCATTACAAAACAG